CCTCTGCTTGGGCCGTGGTTATCCTGGGAGGCTCTCCAGATGTTTCCCCCAGGTCAAGGGCAGTTGGGGGGGTCTAGAAGAAAGGGCCCTCTTCCTTCGTGGAATTTCCTCCTGGCACGTCCATTGACGCTTCTGTGTTGCCTCAGGTTAAGATTGCTTTGCTAATCATCCCATCAGTTTGACAGAGAATTTTGGATGTCAAGAGTCTGCTTCGGGATTTATAATGTATTTTATTGGTTGCACCGTTTACTCTCTATTATCTTTTCTGTTTTTAATGTTGTAAGCAACTCCATTGTCTTCTCACTGAAAGTTTGTTATTAGGAGTAGCAACGGTAATTGCCACCATCACCATAAAAGTTTCGAAATCCAGACCAAATTTTATCTTCAACGTTAGGGAGCTGGACTAGAAGACCTCCAAGGTCCCTTCCAGCTCTGCTATCCCGTTAACGTTCGCGGGAGGAAGAGGATTGTGAAACCCCAACCTATTTTATTATGTAGGGAGAACCTGACAAACTTTCAGGAAGAAAGTTTGGCTGATTATCCCAGGAAGCCAGTTGCTCTCTCCCCAGCTCTGAGGGCATGAAGATTATCCCAGCAGCTGGGGAGGACGTTTGGGGGGTGGGTGGGTGGTTCCTGCAGAGGTTGGGGCAAGAGGGTGCTTTGACTTGGGCCTCTAACTCAAAAGAGCGGCCTAATCCAGAAAGTTATTTTATTTTTAAAGAGTCAAAATTACGCCTGGCTCAGTCTTTGCCAGACAATAAGCATTCCTTGTTGTATTCCTCTGAGTTGTATTGTGAGGAGGGTCCCCCCCCCCCAGCACTTGAGTTCTGTTTCATATCCGTGGGAAAAACTGGGAGAAAGGATCGCGCTCTTCAGTTTGCGCACGGGTGCATGCATGCTTCAGTGAGATTGGAGGGGGGGGGGCGCGTGTGGGCTTTACCTGTTGGCACTGATTGGCCTGTCGATGTCATTCCTCCCCTCAGTCCAACATGGGAAAGTTCGCATCCGCGACTGGAGGGAAGAGGAGAGGCCCAGGAAGCAGCCCCGGGGCCGGCAGACCAGAGCCCGCCTCCCTTCTGAAGCCACCAAAACTCGGCTCTGCTGGTTTGACCGGCATCACCCTCAAGGCTGCCCTCTGCCCTCGGCCTCCTGCCCTTACGCCCACGGAACCGCCGAGCTGAACCAAAGACGAATCGCGCCGGGCAACAAAGAGCTGCTAGTTCAACTTTGCTAAATAAAGAGTTGCCTCTTCTTCACTTGAGCCTGCCAGCTTCCTTGTCCCTCGGCCGGGGCAGAAGGAACAGCACAGCCCAAACACTGAGCAGCCTTTGGGGCTCCTTAGCTGAGCCATCGTCTTCATCACAGATATTCATCTGTGCATTAAAATGTCAGCCTGAGGAATGGGAGTGTATGGACGCCCCCTTTCACTAAAGAAGTTCATTCCTCAGAACCTTTTTGGACCAAGTCAGTCCGTGGAGCTAAATTGCAAGTCCCGGAGAGCGTTGCTTTCTTGCAGACGCTTTATGGCTCAGACTAGGTGACTAGCACTGATGGTGTTGCTTGGTTGGGTCGTGAAACGTCTGCAAGAAAACCACCCAGCTCAGAGAACACCCAAGACTGTGTCTGCACTGTGACTTTTCTGAACCCAGTTTGGCCCACATAGCAAATTGGTTAGTTACATTTATTGTTACAACCACAGGTCGAAACACACAATGTACCGCTAAATACTTTTAACAGTAGAAAAAAATTAGGAAATAAAGTAGCACAAAGAATGTGGGATGTAAGAAGTTAAAAGAAGATAAAGCCAGAACTACAACTAAGAATTTAAAGCAAGATCTAACCAGAAGATTCCCAGATTCATCCTTGGAAGGGTGATCCCCAGGAGGAGATGGGAGACATATTAGTGTATGGAAAGGCAAAAATTGGGAGAGTTTTTGACAGCAACTTTTCCACCTAGTCAATTCTATGAAAGGGAACCAGCTTTCAACTCAGGCAAATTTGATATATGGAAAAAGATGCCACCTGACTCTGATTTGGAGAGGGGAAATGGGGCTCAGGGCAAAATAGGATTGGGTTATCCATCCCATAGGCGGGAAGCCTTTAGAATTTAAAAATAAACATACATATCTAAATTAAGGGGTGAGTTTGTGAATGAGCCAGTTTGGGACCACCTGAACCCAAGAGGTGGAATGAATTTACTAGATTATGTATCCCAAATGGATTTTATTAATATATGCACTTATATTTCGTGTGTTTGTATATATTTTCTTTTGAGACCAGGCATTAGAATTTTTTTTTTAATGTGTGCCAGGGTGTTCACAGAAAAAAGTGACAATACAGGCTATCATATTAAAATTGTTCCACAATTAATCAGTGGAACAACTTCCCTCCAGAAGTTATGAATGCTCCAACACTGGAAGTTTTTAAGAAGAGATTGGACAGTTATTTCTCTGAAATGGTAAAGGGTTTCCTGCCTGAGCAGGGGGTTAGACTAGACTGCCAAGGTCCCTTCCAACTCTGTTACTCTATTTGATTCTCAAACGGTTGATAAATGAGTGGGGAGCAAATATGTTTAAAAAGAAACAGAAACAAACAGAAACAGAGTAACAGCCATTTAGTCAACCCCCTGATCAAGCACAAGACCCTTTCAGACAAGTGGCCAGCCAGTCTCTTCTTAAAAAACCTCAGGATGAACCCCTCTTCTTTGTGGCAGCTCCTCAAATATTGGGACACTGCTATTATGTCCGTGAGATATCAGACACTCCAGCGAAGCTTGGCCAAGATACACAAATCCCTACTTTTTCATTAATAGATTTGAATCCTCGCACAGGTACAGTACAGGTGATACCTTGCTCAACAGTAGTAACTGTGAAAGGGATCTTGGAGTCCTAGTGGACAACCGTTTAAATATGAGCCAGCCGTGTGCAGCAGCTGCCAGAAAAGCCAACACAGTTCTAAGTTGCATAAACACAGGGAGAGAATCCAGATCACGTGAAGGGTTAATACCACTTTATAATGTCTTGGTAAGGCCACACTTGGAATATTTGCAACCAGTTTTGGTCACCATGATGTCA